AAAAAAAAAAAAAAAAAAAAAAAAGCCAGTATCAAATAACTTGGTACTGGGTCACCAGGTACAATATCATTAAACTTACAAGAGAGTTATGATAAATGAACAAAGAAAAGTAGGGAGTTTTGGGGAAGGAAGTGTGACAATTCAATTCTAAGAAAGAGGCCTAACAAAATCTGGAGTAAATGATTTCTCAGAAGTTGGCATCATAATGTACCATTCTTTTTCCTATATATCCAGGGATTACTCTTATGCATGATAATCCGAGCTTTAGTCATCTACTCTCACCTCTGCCTAAGAACACAGAGACTCCTCAGCCTCTCTGGGTCTCTCCTCCTTGATTTCCTTCAATCTCTCCAAAAGGGGTTTTATATTCACCACATGGGCATGTATGGAATAGCAGGAAAGGGAGGTGAACTCTGTGGGAGCTCCCTCCTGGAACTGTGATTAAGATCATCTTCTCTCAAGAGGTTAATTAACTTACTCATTAGATTCCCAGATCGAAGTTGTCAGTAAGTGTAGTTCTCCTGACTGCATCCATCTTCCCAAATGGTATAAACTACTTTCTCCAGCATAGTCATTGTTTCCTCTGCTGTTCTTGAGTGCCAGGGTGCAGCGCAAAATATTTTGTCACGGTCCTGCCCCTTTTTACAAGAACACCCAGAGGTAGAAAGTGCTAAAAATAATTTTGACCCCAGGATTCTTTAAATGATTTCATAAAAATAAGGTCATTTAACAATAAACTTTACATTGAGGCTTTTGATTTTTAAAGAAAGTGAAGGAACAGTTTCATTTTTTTCCACATTGTACGAATGTTTGGGTTTCTTGGGCCTTAAAGCTCATGCTGGTTCTGCTGAGCTCTCTATTGTGAGTCAACATATTAATCTTTGTTACAGTACCCTGTACTGTATGTGCTTCATCCACTGCTCACAGTCCTCCCTCTTTCCCTATCATCTCCCAAAACTTCTTATCATGCAAACTTCTGCTTGGAAATATGTACCAGTTTCTGATATGAGAAGACAATGCTTTCTTACTACTGTAGTTTGACTTTTCTACCTACATCTTGGGGAAAGTAATTTCACTTATTCTGTAATGTTTTATATCTTTTTTCATGAAATCCAAAACTTCCCTCAGGCCCAATGTTGTTTCTCATCATTTGTTATAACACTAGACAATCTCTTTTGATCTGATGGATTAAGTATTATCATTTTTCTATTTGCTTTTGTTTTTGTTTTAAGAAACAAGTCTTCACTATGTAGTCCTGGCTGGGTTCGATTCTCTTTCATCTCCTAAGTGAGGATGTTACAGGCGTGCCCCACCACACCCAGCATTCAAATGTTGTTAAATTCAAGAATAGGTTTTTAAAATTATTTTCTTCAGCCTTAATTTTTCTTTTTGGAACTCCTATAATCCCATATTTGATGTGTTGAATATTAAGATATTCCTCAAATACTTTTTAAAATCTTTTGTCTCTTCATGTGACTTCTATAAATTTTGAGACATTTTTTTCTATATAATATTCCAAGTCATTAATTCAACTTTTGTAGTAATTCAATTTATTATTCAATATCTAAATTATATTTCATGGTTGGTATTTTAAATTTGCTTATTTTTTCTAAGAACTGCAATCTTCCAAAAACTCACTGAATTTTATTTTAATAATTATATTGTTTTTATTAATGTGTTATTTGCATATTTTAATAGATCTGAATATGATATGCAACACTTACCTACAGCAGGTACTGACCCTATTCAGTTTCCATTTATATCCTCCCCCTCCAACTTCTCCACCTCTATTAATTGCTATTCTAAATCGAGCCAAAGATTTTTGCTTTCACTTACAAGAGAGAAATACTATGCTTGCCTTTCTGCATCTGGTTTTTCATGTAATATAGTATCTTCTAGTTTTGCACACTTTGCTACAAACAACAGGATTTCTTGCTTTCTTTGTGTCTGAATAATATTCCATTGTGTATGTAGTCCATATTTCATTTATCTATTCACCTACTGATGGTTAGATTTACTCCTAGGCGTTTTATTTTTATTGTTGTTATTAATTTTATGATTTCTTTCATAAAAGTTCATTATGGGTGTACAAAAAGTCTACTCTTTTGAAGATTGACTTGTATCTTGCAACATTAATTCATTTATCATTTCATAATGTTTTGGTGGATTTAAGTTTTTCTGTATAGAATCATATGGTCTCCAAACTGAGATATTTTGACACCTTACCTTTTTATTTGTATGCATTTTATTTCTTTCTCTTGCTCAATTGCTCTAAAACCTTTACTATGTTGGGGTACAACCCTTTACTGAATTTGTTCAAGGTTTTTATCATCAAGACTTGTTCAATTTTATGAAATGCTTTTTCTGCATCTATTGAGATAACCATATAATTTATTTTCATCTTCTTGATGTGATGTATTATAATTGTTGATTTGCCTATCCTTGGATAAAACAAATTTAACAACAATGCAAGATTGTTTTGACATCCTGCGAATGTGATTTACTAGTATTTTGTTGAGAATTTTGTAACTCTGTTCATCCAGGAATTTGGTCTGTGGTTTTCTCTTTTTGTTGTATCTTCATTTGTATTTGGTAATGAAGTAATGCTGGCTTTATAGAATGAGTTGAGAAACATTCTGTACTTTTTAATTCTTCGGAATAGTTTAAGAAGTGGTATTTTTGCTTTGTAAATTCAGCTCTGAGGCTCTCTAGTCCTGTGATTTTTCTTTGCTGGGAAACATTTTAGTACTGATTCAAATTCATTATTTGTTATTTGTCTATTCAAGTTTTTTATGTTGTCTTGAGTCAATGTCAGTGGGTCATATCCTTACAGAATATCCACTTCTTCTAAGTTTTTTAATTTGTTAGCAGAAATTTAAGCATAACTAAGTGTTCCTGAGTATGTGATTTTATTTTTACTATATCATGCTTTATTATGGCATTCTTTAAAACCTCAATAACAAATGGTAGCAATTAGTGGCAAATAATAAGTTTACATTTATTTTGCAACTGTTGTTATGAAATATGTTAAGCCTAGCACAAAGTAACTCATTTAAAATTCATAATAACATATGAAGTCCTAATTTTAAAATATGTTACTTTCATATTCATATAAAATAAAACTAGGATGCAGAGAATTTAATTAATAACTTGTTCAAGGTCACAAAATTACTAATGATACCACTGAAATACAACTTCAGTCTTTTCTATAGATCTTACTCTAATTATCATATTTTATAATCTTTACATTAATCTTATATAAAATGATAAAAATAACAGTGTTTATATAAAAGTAATAAAGTTAATGTTCATAAAAACATATTGTAATGATTTAACTAAATTTCTCTTTTATATTTTATTCATTATGGAGGCATAC